GGACGCCTGAAGGACCTCACTCGCATGGCACCACCTGAAGGGCCTGATCTTCCGCAGAACTCACGGGGGAATCTCCGAGTCGAGATCGGCCCCTTCAAATGCTTTAGATTGATGGCCTCCAACCTAAAAGCCTCCACCCATGACCTGGGAGGTCCACAAGCGGCCACAGGCAATGCTTGGTCACCCACGCATCAGAAACCCGGCCACCGGTGCTCGCGCCACCGTGCTCGGGCGTGGCCAGTGCCCAAGACAACGACTAATGGGACCAAGACCCCCCGCAGTCAACCACCCTGATCTATAAGCATAGATGGCATTACGTTGTTTGGCATAGGGAGACGCCCCAGAAAAGCCACTCGAAACACACACGCTCCTGCACCATCCTAGGTCCTGGGTGTCCTGGGTGTCCTGGACCTATCCCGGATAACAGTGAGCTGGGGAGTCGAAAGGCCAGGACGGTCTGGGATGGTGCAGGGAGTAAGGGCGGAAGGTCTCCCCAGAAACCCGACTTAAGTGAAGAGCCCCCCGGCTCATCCTGGCTTCATTGTTAACCACCCAACCACCCCTGCAGAAAGAACCGACTCTAGTAAAACCATAGTAAAACACATTAGTTGGATATTTGTCTCAGCAAAGCCTTCACATAGTTGCGAGCCAAAACTCCAACATTTGCACGGCCATGGCCATGCTCCTCCCAATATTGTCCTGGGCGGGCAGCGTAGATACTGGACAAGCGCTTAGCAACACAAACATTTGCACCTCTAATTCAATGAGTAAGAAAGAATAGGTGTTCAATACAGTAGGGTTGCTCGTTGAAAAAGGAAGTGTGTTCAAGAAAAAGGACCAGAAACGTTGGATACACTAATGTGATGGTCTGAACATCCTCGATTCGCTCTGGAAAAGAAGGTTTCCCAGCTGGGCAGGGTTAGAATAATCCATGAAACATAGGGAAACCCTGGTCAAACTGAAAATGCCAGAACAAGCAAAACTTCTTCAGGTGCTTGCCTTTGTATGCGAACTCACAATTTCTAGGTCACCTGTTTTGCTGGGTGCAATCCTTGGCTAATTTATATATATATATATATATACCTGCACCATCCAATGGGTGTCCTGTCTGGAGTCTGGAAATCGGTAGCCGTGTAGGGTAGTCCAGTGGACACCCAGACAGGATGGTCCTGGTAGATATATTAGTTCAACTTAGTGGCTTCTAAACACGTGCACATTGAAAGCCTTTGAGAGCCACAAATCGTGTGCCCCGCAATCTGCAGAACGTGGAAGACCCGGCTGGTCGGTCCAAACTGGTTGTGTGAGCTGAGCACTGACCCTAGGCTCCTTAGGGTTATCTAAATGTCGTCCAAAATGCGTGGCTAAACTCCAAACACATGACCCTATGGATCCACTGCCACCATCTCAGAAGGTAATTGGACCCTCCTGGCGCCTACATAAATAGTCTCCTTCCTCACCGTACCGGTTCGGTATGTGGATCCAAACACATGAAACTGGAGGTGCCATGTCTCCCTGGAACTCACATGGTGGATGGCCCCGAGTTCGGAAAGACCATGAAATCCATTGAAATCCACTACAAACAGGTGGTGCCATCCACGTAACCATGTGAGTTCCAGGGATTCTCGAAGGGTCTCTGAGTCTCTATGGTTGCGACTCTGCACTCCAAAGCCTGAAATCGTCATGGAAAAGCTGGGTGGCTCAGCCCGAACCGGTGCCTTTCCACGGGCTCAGCCCGAACCGGCCGACGTCTGACCTCCCAGGTGTCGTCTGACCGCCCGAGGTCAAACGTTGACCTGATATAAGGCGCCCATAGGAGGAAGCGCTAGCACCAAAGGCAAGTCAAACACGCTAGCTACCTCTCTGCAGGCTTCCCATTGCCTGATATGAAAGACCTCGTCGGATGGGCACTGAATAACATGGTATGGCTGGCACGGCTACTTACTCCCTGCACCATCCCAGAGCTGGGTGTCCTTGCTGTACTCCCTG